GACCGCCCAGCCCCGCGGCGGTCCCGCGGCACGCGTCCTCCGCGGCTTTGCTCCGTGTCTCCTTGGTCTGCTGGGGGCCCCCCCAGCATACCAGGGAGACGCGGAGCAGCTTTTCTTGCCACAGAGGACGTGGGCGGCAGGACCGCCACAGCACGTCTCTCTGGTCTGCTAGGGAGGGCGCAGCTAGTGCTGGGTTCCCTCACCCCATTCGTAAGTAGGGATCCGACATAAGTCGGATCCACGTAACCCGGGGACTGCCTGTAATAACATTAATCACGATTAATCACACTGTTAATAATAAAATTCCAGCTGACCCCAGGTTCCTTGCAGTGCTGCCTCTTTGAAATGCCGCTGTGGTCTCTGGTCTGCTAGGGAGGGCGCAGCTAGTGCTGGGTTCCCTCACCCCATTCGTAAGTAGGGATCCGACATAAGTCGGATCCACGTAACCCGGGGACTGCCTGTAATAACATTAATCACGATTAATCACACTGTTAATAATAAAATTCCAGCTGACCCCAGGTTCCTTGCAGTGCTGCCTCTTTGAAATGCCGCTGTGGTGTTTCAAAGGGGCAGCTCTGGGAGCCCAGAATCAGCTGTGCAGCACTGCCCCTTTGAGATAACTGCCTCAGCGTTTCAAAGGGGCAATGCTGTGGGAGCCTGGGATCAGCTGATCCTGGGCTCCATTCGTGCTGTCCCTTTGAAACACCGTGGCAGCATTTCAAAGGGACAGCGCCACGGAAACACCTGTGATTAATGCACATTAAAAAATTAATCAGTTAATTCTGCCCTGCGTTAATCGCAGGCATTAACGCACGTTAATTGACAGCCCTAATTTTTAAGCAAGACCTGGCACCCATTCCCATACATTTAAGGGACTGATTACCTCAAGCCTGTTACAAACTTGTAGCACACGAAGTACATTTTTGCAGACATTTTCCAACTGTGTGTTTCCATAGCAACATGTAATTCCCAGGATTTCAACATTGGAAGATACTAAAGCCATCATTAGGGCTTGAGCATCATCAACTCCACAGTCAGCATCAATCAACAGTGACTTCTTTGCCATTTTAAAATACCTAAAAAACATTTACAAGCAGATTAGACAACTAACCTAATAATTAAGATTAAGGTACAGTAGTTCATGTAGAGGAAAAAATATTCTAAGGATATGGCTACAGTTTTAACTGGGTTTTAATTCAACCGCTTACAAATTATTTGCCAAAACATTTTTCTACAGACATTTGTTTTCAGTTTCTATCTGACTTTTTTATAATGCTTTATGATAACATAGCATAAGAATCCATCCACCTTTATTTTTAAGAGAAAATGTCAAGAATCACTAATTTGTAAATCAGGATCTTAAAAATAAGTTCTTAACTGAAGCTTTTGAAAAGTTTTGGTAAATTAACTACAGTATTTGTGCAGTAACTTAAAAAAATCAGCCATGAGTATGTATATTCACACCAAATTAAAATAACTGAAGATATTGTAAATCCTCATGTAATGCCAGTTTATTTTAAAATTGAGATGATTTCTTAATTCCAATGAAGAAGTCAGTAGTAATGTGGCAATCAAGTAAATTATAACCTGGGAAAGGGTAGAGATAGTACATACATAAAAGGGTGGTGGTAGAAAAAGCATCCAAAACTGAGGGAAACCAGCACAAAATTATATGAGCTGGCCCACAACTTTAATACCTACCTTCCTTAAAGCTTCCTTTTGAAACATAAAATAGCATATTGTGGTCTCCACAGCAATTATCTTAAATTAGATTAAGAAATATTATTTATACTCAGTAGAACTGCAACCATTTTCTGCAACTGTAAATTCTTGTATCTTAGGCACCCGCTTCTATTTTTTCCCAGGGAGTCTCCACAGTGCTGTCTGAAGGCCCTGCCTCTTGTCCCCAACTCCACCCCCTTCTCAAGGCCCCCCACTGCTGCTCCCTGCTCCGCCCACAAACCCTTCCCTATCCACCAAACAACTGTTTGATGACAGCTGCTGATCAATGGTGAGGTAGTGGCGCCAACCAGCTGTTTGGTGGTACCACAATAAACCCATCTAGGGTTGCTGCCAAATAACTGTGGCTGGTGGGTACTAAGCACCCACGGGGTCAGCACCTATTCATCTGTCACATCTTGTTGACATTAGCGGTATTGCCATATTTGCTTTCTGTGACTTAGCTTGTCTCTGAAGTTCAAAGTCCACCCTTTTAACTTAACTCAGAACTTCACTGATTTCCCTCCCGGACAAGGTTCCCTCTAAACTGCACAGGAACATGGCATGACAGCCGTTTAATGAGCCCACACAGCCAGGGGCTCAGGGCTCCATGCACAGAACTGCCTGGCTGGGAAAGGGGCACTTCTCCCTCACCTACAGCAGCTGCTCCCAACACTACTTCATTCGCTATGCTTCCCTGGGAAAGTTCTTTGTTTTCATCTTTTGGAGCCACTATTAAATTTGCACCAATACTTTTGGAGACAAGTCGCTATTAGGAACGCATATT